CTTAGGGAATGGCGTTGTTGTTGTTCTAACATCTTCGGGTAGAAAGACCTTTGCAAGTCCTGGTAAGATAAAAATTCCAGCATTTCAAAACAACTTAAAAGGAAAACTTTTCTATCAGTTCTTTCCTTCACTCCACATTTCTTCCTCCCATCACGGTTTATTCCAGAAATTTCTCCCCTTAGTGGAAATTAAGTCTTCCCAGGCAGCATAAGCTCTTTCCCTGTTAACTGTGAAGACCTGTGGCCAGGCTGACCACAGTGCACCCCGGTGTCCGCGTTCACGGTGCGCCCCACGCTGCCCCCGCCACCTCGGCTTCCAAGGGCAATCCCAGAGCCTTTCACTTTTTCTTAGTCGGGTCTTCCTTTTGAACAAGTCATTTTTTTTTTGTCCCAAAAATGAGCTTTGGAGGGAAACTCGCCCGGTGACCACTGCGGTCCTCCAGGAACGACTGATGGCCCCAGGCAGTGCGGGCCTGGCAGCCGGTCTATGGGTGCAGCCTGGGGTGCCAGCTCTCGGCCGGTTTTGAGCCACGCCCCCGCCTCTGGGCCCCTCCAGCGAGGCCCTGGGCGTCTGGGAACCGGCACCCGGGCAGCCGGACAAGGCAGGCTTCCGGGGCGGCCTGCGGTGGCCAGCTTTCCCCCGACTCCTGAGTCACCAGGTCTGTGCCCTCGGCGACGCCATCCCTGGGAAACTGTGGAAGTCTTCAGCTTTTTGGCCTATTTCCTACCAGAAAATAAACCTCACTACTAGGAAGTAAGAGGCTGCACACTGGCCAGTCTGGTGGAATGGCCCCACCGCGGGAGCCAGGAAGATGCCCAGGGTCCCCTGGCTCCCGGCCACCTCCGGAGGCTTGGGGACACCAGGGCCGTGTTCCTGGTGGGACGAGGCGAAGAGCTCTTGAAGGGCTGGATGTGCAGGTTTCAGCCCCGGGTTGCTGCACAATTCACGCAGAGATGTGAAACTGGGGGGCTGAAAAATGTCACTAGAACCGTCCCAAACGTGCTCCTCCCCTCGTTACCGGTGCTAAGGGGCCTGGGAGGCAGCGGCACGGTTTGGGTCCAGACAGAGCAGCCTCCAGCCCCAAGGGGAAGCCAGGGAGAAGGTAAGAACGCTGTGCTTAGCCAGCAGTGTCTCCCCAAAGGGCTCCCACAGCTGCCACAGCGGCTCGAGGCTCAGAAAGACCTGTAGACCATTCCCAGGGCTTCAGAGCACTGTGGTCGCCATAGAGACAGAGATTCATCCTGAAGTTGCTGCGAAGTCCAGCGGGAGCTGGCCAGGTGCTATGGCTCTGACGGCAGGGGTGCACCTATGTCCCAGGAACGACTTAGGCAGGGAGGCAGGAATGAGAGGGGCACGTGGCCAGCACTGACCTCTGTGGCTTGGTGTGCAGCCCCTGAGGAATCTCTTCTATGGCCCAGGGAAGAGCCCAAGCAGCTCTGGGACTCCTGGGACAGACGTCAATCATGGCTATGCCACTCCCTCGCTGAGGGACTTCAGCCAGAGGAAGCGGGAACTGATTCACCGGGTGCATAAAGGTTCCAGTCGCTATGCTCGTGCGGGGGCCTGGCTGTCTGACCCCAAAGTGTGTCTCTTATGTGAGCGTCAGGGCTACGCTCAGAGCCAGAAGACCCGGGTTTGAGGCACAGCTGCTTGGCTCTAGGAAATAATTTCCATTCTCTGGACCTCAGTTCCTCTTCAGGCAATAAAGGGTTGCAGGGAGATGAAAATGAAATAGCACGGTAAAGGCATGCTCTCTAAAATTCAGTGTGTGTGATAAATAGGGAGTTTCCAAACCCATCTGATCTTCGGGACCACCCGAGGGAGGTTAGTAAAAATACAGCCTGCTGAGGGCCTGCCTCCACGGCTCTGAGACCCTGTGTCTCTGAATACACCCCGCGGCTCAGGCGGATTGTCAGTCAGCCCACATTTACAAATGTAAGGCGTCAATACCATTTCCCCAGACCCCAGGGTGCCAAGATTTTACTTGTTTCTGCTCAGCTAAGCTGTGGCCGCTGGCCCTGGCTCTCTACCCCTGCAGGCCTCTGCTGTGCTCCTTCGCTGACAGGACTTGGCTGCCTCTCGGCACCGCCAGCAGAGACCCCAAGTAGGAGGAAAGGCTAGGACAGAAAAGGTCTGATCCAATGCATACAATGCTCTCAGTTACCCAAGCAGGGTAAGCTGGCATGGAGGCGGGCTGAGCCCCCGGCCGAGGACCAGCCAGAGTTCAGATATATGGATGAAGTGTCTGCTGATGGCGATTGTCAGCCTTTGGCCCCTATGTAGTCAAATGCATGTTGGTTGAATCCCAAGGCGTATGTCTTGCATTTACCTACCTAACTTTGTCTCTTTCTAACATTGTTGAATAGTCTGGGCGGGGGGGGGGAATCTGGGACAACTTTTTATGTTCGAAATCCCCCAATATCCTTACCCACGGAGGGTCCCCGTGGCATGGATGAGTCCAAACAAGAGCACGTTGAAAAGTCATTGCCGTGTTGCGGGGCGAGTACGTGGGCGGACTGCCACCTCTCTGAAACTGACTTCTCAAGGTCACTTCCGCTTCAAATGACATCCGTACGGTTCACACCCTGTGAGAGTGGTTGGCTGGGACCTTGGTCGAGAAAGGCTTAACCTTGAAGCAGACGCCTAGGTGAGGACTTGGGCTTGCAGGGCTGTTGGATGTTGGCGCTGGGCAGACACGGTCTCTAAACCAGGGGACGGAAGGGCCCTAACGTGCTCATTCCCAAGATCCATTGTCTTTGCTCCGGCGCCCACACCGCCTTTGAACTCCTGGGCCTGGGTTCCCTGTCCACCTGGCCTTCGCTGACTGTATATTGAAATCTGTGGCTCACGGGGCACCTTGCAGCCCAGTTCTCGGCACAAGGGAGTGATGTTCAGTGGTTGTGGACGAAGGAGGGCTGTGAAGTCCTATCGCTGCTACCCAGCTGAGGACCTGGAACAGGGCACTTGGGTTTCTAAGCCTCAACTCCTTATTTGACCTCAGGAAGTTGGCATACGTGGCTTGCAAGGGCCCTTCCAGTTTCTAGGCTTCTGCAATCAGACGCGGTGTTAGATTTGAACTGTGTAAGTGGGAAGGCCACGGGTTCCGCTCAAAGGATAAGCCTCGCTGGCTGGGAGGTGCTCCCCGAGTCCCAGAGAGGGGGAGGCGGGGCAGGAGCTGCCTGCCCTGTCCCCGCAGTCACAGCAGCAGAGATGAACCAAGAGCAGATGCAAGGCCTCACCTCGCCTCGCTAGAAGTGCAGCCCCCGGAGAACGGGAGTCACTGTCCTTCCCCCACCCACCCATGCCGGGCACGGCCTGGCAGGGCCTCTCGTCTGCCAGGCGTGAGTGGGTGGGGGAGGGACAGTGACTCCCGTTCTCCGGGGGCCGCACCTCTAGCCCTGGGCCCGGCGCAGTCCAGGAGGGCACAAACTGCCGCTCTGGAGGAGATGCCCGCAAGGGTTACTGGGCTGACAGGTGAGATGTACAATCGGTGCTGACCCCCACTTCCTGAGGCTTCATAATTTCCCAGGTGCCGAGTCTGGGAGGCTCCCCACCATGGCTGTCCCCTGGGCCTCTGGTACTCTTCCGGGGTCTCTCGCCGCAGGTGGACAGTCATTGGCTGAAGATTTCCTCCAAGCACACCTTCTCCCCACCCCACACTCTAGACCTTCCCTAGAGGTTGAAGGCCCAAGCTTCAGTCCTAGAACAAAAGCTAGGAAGCTGGGGTCTTCTTTTTTCCCCTATTTGATCTCTTTTCTTGATAGTGTACCTGTCTAATTCCTTACACACACGCCTCAGGAACCCAGGCTTTGAGCATGGGCACGTCAGCTCCTGGCGGACAGCAGACGTCGGCGTCACGCCCTGTGTTCGGAAGAGCTAAGGGACCCCAGCTGGTCTTCTGCGGCTCCTTCCACCACACCTCGTCTGCTGCCTGCCTCACTTTCTGCACATAAAGCCTGGAGACTCCGACCTCTCACCAACCCAGTTCCTTCCTCACAAACTCCTCGAGAGCCCAGCCACCAAGCAGGGAGGGCTCACGGCCTCTTCTTGCAGCCTGCGGCCCAGCCTCCGCCGCCTCCGGCCGCAGTTCCTCAGCATCGAGTCTGAGCACCTCCTTGCCCAGCTGTTAAATGGCAAGGAGGGGGGCAGGGTGCCGGGGGCGGGGGGAGAGTCTTCTTAGCTGCTTTGGCTACTGCAGAAACTAACTGCAAGATCATGCACTGGGAAATGGGGCTGGCAGGTTGGCAGCATGGGGCGAAGGGACTCTGCTTGCCGTGGGAGTCTCTGTCGGGGGCCTGAGGCCGAGGAAAGAACCAATGAAGTGGCTGAGGCTCATAGAGATGCCCTTAGAGATGGGTCACGACGGGGCTTGGGCGGCTACATCTAATTATTATTTAACAAGTATTTTAGTAGCTGCTGAGTGCCAGGCACTGAACTGGGGGCTAAGGATACAAAGGTAAAGGCTTTGAGGCCACTGTGTGTGGGCACTTGGTGTGATGTGTGCTGTGATTTAGGTGCACGCGGAAGTGAGGCCGGGCGTGGGGGACGGCACGCGGAGCCGACCGAGCGTGCAGGAGGAGGGCGCTGGGAGGCGAAGTCCGCCTCGGCCCCCACTGCACATTAGAGTCACCTGGGAGCTTTTAAAACCCCCAAACCCCAGCCACCCCCTGACCACGTAAATCAGAATCGCTGGCATTGGAACCTGGGCCTCAATAGTGGGAATTCCAAAGTGAGGCCAAGTGCGGACCACGGGGGTCATGGGGTAATTATGGCTCAGGTTCGCAGGAGAAAGGAGTGGAATGAGCGGCGGTTGTAGGTTGGTTGGTTTTTAATATGGAACCTTCTTATTCACTCTTTCTATGAAGCCATGAGAAAGCCTTTCTGGTTTGGGTCTGGGCAGGAGCAGGAACGGGGTTGGGGGCGTGGGAGGCCGGCCGGAGGGGGCGGAGAGGGGATTGGGCCTGCGGCGGGTCAGGAACCGCGCCGCCCTTTCCTCCCAGGACCTCCTGCAGAGCTCTCCCAATTCCCTGTCTGGAGTCTCCAGTAACCCCCAGGGCATTGTGGTCCCAGCCTCCGCGCTCCAGCAGAGCAACATCGCCATGACAACTGTCAACTCACAAGTGGTGTCAGGTTGGTGCAGGGGATTGTGGGGACACCCCTGGGAAGAGAAAAGGTGGCACCAAGGGATTCCAGGGGCATGGGGCGGGGCTGCCCGCTGGGTGTCCTACCTAAAGTGTCCTGTAAGTTTATCAACCCTTAGCACCAAGGCTCAGTGGTGATTTGGGTCAAAGTCTCCCGAGCCACTTGGAGACCAAGCAAGGCTATTGTCCCTCCCCCCAACATGTGCCACTTACATCCCACCCCTTTCCTCGCGGGCTGAGCAGAGAGTGAGTACCTGTGAGCACCGTCGCCCCCACCGGCCCCCATGACGGGACACAAAAACCGGTTGTTTCCTCAGGTGGAGCCTTATACCAGCCGGTTACCATGGTAACCTCCCAGGGTCAGGTGGTCACCCAAGCGATCCCCCAGGGAGCCATCCAGATCCAGAACACACAGGTGAGTGCGTGCAGGCACGTGCTCGGCTGCTCGGGCTGGGGGAGGGCGCCCACCTGCCGTCTGCTCACAGGTAGCTCACGCAGCCCTCCTCGCTCTTCCAAGAGCCGGCCTTACCCCCACTCACAGATAAGCAGCTGGGTGGTGGAGGGGGTTTACCAGCTCCTGGGATTCTGCTGCCTCCCGGGTGACAGGTGACATCAAAGGCCCCTGCACCCCTATTTCTGGTCTCCATCTGGAGCCCCCCTGGAGCTCTGTGAGGCGGGGAGGTGGGGAGAGTAAGGATCTGAGGTCGGAGGCCTGAGATCTGACTTTTTAACTCTGTCACTGCGGATACATCCCCCAACCTCTCTGAGCCTCAGAGTTCATACCCACAAAAGGGAGATGAACACAGTAGCTGTGCACACAGCCCTGCCAACCTGCAGGGCTACCCTGAGGGCTCACGTGGGCCCAGACAGGAAGTCACTTTGCAAACTGTCAGCACCTCCAGAAATGCTATTGGACGGTGTATGGCAAATTTGTCTCTCTTGTATTCTCTGCATGGCTCTGTCTCCTGTCTCCTCTCTCACCCCCTCCTTTTATCCTCCCCCGCTCCTTCCTCCCCTCTTCCCTTCTCCATTCTGTGAGAAGCCCATGGGAGGGGAGAGGAAAGGTGACCTCCCAGGGTCCTAGAATGAGTTGGGGCGGGGGTGGCAGCAAGAGCCTGCCATTGCTATGACAACAGGCCCCTCGCTGCTGGCTCGCCAGGCTGCTGATGCTGACTTTTTCTCCACGCGCCCTGAAGGTTAACCTTGACCTCACTTCCCTCCTGGACAATGAGGATAAGAAGTCCAAGAACAAACGAGGAGTCTTGCCCAAGCACGCCACCAATATCATGCGCTCTTGGCTCTTCCAGCATCTCATGGTGAGTGTGTGTGTACCGGGGGCTTGGAGGGGCCGTGTGCAGTGAGCGGCCCTGGGGGCACCAGGCTCCACTGTCACCCCCAGGTCTACAGACGGCATCAACACGGTGGGGGTGGGGGGCCGGCTGAGGCCCCGGCTTCCTCCTTTCACCAGCTCAGCTCTGTGAGGCTGAGCAGATACTTTCCTAAGCCCCTGTGGCTACTTTCGTGACATGGAGACAAAGCCTTAGGTTTAATAAATGCGATGTTTGTGAAGGGCCTACTGTGTGCACCAGCAAGGAAGCTATGTGTTTGCAGGCCTTTGGTTGAACGACAAGCACCACGTCAATGACTTCAGACCCCTAGCGCCATCCAAGAGGCCAGCGACCGTCGGGGGCTCTGAGCGCGTGTGGGCGTGTGTCCGGGGTGGGGAGGGAGAGCCTCTGAGCGCAGGTGGGCTCCCGCAGTCCGGGGGCTCCTGGCCTGGCCTGGCAGGCCACCGATACACAGACACCAGGCAAACGCCCAACTCGGGACTAGAACTGTGGACATAAGCTGGCCTGTGAAATGTGGGAAGAGCCAGGAGTAAGGGAGCTCTTTCCCAGCTGAGCGGCTCACGGGAGTCAGTCAGTCAGTCACTGCACAGCCCCTCCTGTGAAGCGGGAGCGCCTCCCAAAGCCACGGGGCCCAGCCGAGGCAGCGGCTCCCAGACATGTGACCCTGGGGACCCTGCCTCGGGAATGCGGGGCGCCTGGTGGGCGGGAGGAACTGCTCTGAGGTGACTGCTATGGGGCTGAAGCTCTGCGTCTCCCCGCACATATCCCCCCAACGCTAGGGACTGGGGGCCGCCAGACGTGTGCTGAGGGAGCCCCTTTTGAAAACACCTGCAGGGGACACACAGTAACCTAATTTGGAGAGAAAGGGCTGGAAAGCTGAGGGTTAAGGTGAGAAGAAGAGCTTGGAAGGACTCCCAGGGCCAAGCCGTGAGGCTGAGGAGCTGGGACAGAGCCAGCCTCAGGCCTCTGGGGAGTGGCTCCTGGCCGGGATGCCCAGACCTCCTGCCTGCTCTGGTCCCCGCGCTGCCGGGGCAGTGGGCTCTGATGGGCTGCGTGGCCCTGGGGGCACGGTGCTGCCCACCCCCACTACCACGGGGAGACGAGCTCCTGAGGAAGGATCCTCTCCATGCCCTGAGCCGCTTTGCCCAGGTCGGGGCAGCCCAGCCGCTGCCCACTGCGACCTAGAGCAGCCTCCAGCACTGAGGTGCGGGAGCTGTGGCCACCAGACCGAGGAGGGGCGGGAAGCTCGTGAGCTCCTGAGGCAGCCAAACAGGAGCTCACACCTGGGGGGGCCTCACCTTCCACTCTCTCACCGGCCACACCCACCTCTGGCAAAGAGGGCGCTGAAGCAACGGCATTACGGCCGAGGCCCTGGCGCACTGCGGCGCCTAATGCACGTTAGTCCCCCCTTTCCTTCCTTCCTCGTCCCCCACCCCCATGCATTTTCAAAGACAGGTGTGGAAGTACCTACAAACTCACTTCTGAAGGGGAGAAAAGGCAGGTGTAGGAGGAGAGGAGGCTGCAAGCCAGATTTCCCAGATCTCAGAGTCCAGCCCAGCACCCTCCCAACTCCCACCACCCATGGTGGGCTCCTCCTCGGCCCCCTTCCAGACCCCCTGGCCTGACACTGGAGGCTCGTCCTATGGGTTCCTGGTCCCCCACTCCCCGGCTGAGCCTCCCCTCTGACCTCAGTTCACACGCCACCCTCTAGCCCTTCCCCCTGAACCTCGTCCTTAGCTCAGCTTCGCAGCCCCTCCCAGCCAGACTTGGGATGGCAGAGGGAGGCTGAGGTGGCAAAGAGAGAGGGGTACTCGGAGCCCAAAGCAGAGGGAAGGAGGAGCCCAGACAGGGCGCACAAAGGGGACCGGGGACAGTGGGGAGGCCTGCTGAGAAGCATGAGTAAGGCTTTTCCGCCCGCACCCTCCCGCCCGCTGGGCTGCTCCAGCTCCGAGCGCACGCAGCGCGGGTGCTATTAATAAAGCGCTCCACCGGGCAAGGCCCTCCCCGGGTGAATGCCGTCCTCGCGGCAGCCATCGAGAGGGGCCAAGGGAGTGACCTCTGGGCCTTTCAGTCAGGACTCAGAACTTTTGGAGGAGAGGGACCAGTCCAGACTGTAGGGACGTGGCACGACACAGCTGTCCTCTGCAGGCCAGGGCCGGCCCATGGATGATACCCACCCCCCTGCCCCCCCCCCCCCAAACACCAGCTCAGGAAGGAGGCTGTAAAGGCTCTTGGTGACGGGCCACCGGGGCGGGGGGCGGGGCAGAGACGGGCTCTGCGGCTGGCAAGCGGGGGTGTGGACCGGCCTGCCCGGCAGCCTCGCGCTGGCCTCTTTCCTCGGACAAGGGAGACAATACCCCTTTCCTATAGTGACGGATATTAAGTGAGACAACATGGATCTGACACATAGTCGCACCTGAGAAACATTTAGTGCCCTTTAAACTTTCTGGAACAGTGGAAGACGGTTTTGAGGCTAAGGCCCCAAATTTGTGAAAATCAATTAGCGGCGGGTGGCTGACCTGGGGTTCCGACCTGTAGCACCTGCTGGTTTCCCCTCACTCGGCCCTAAGAATATCCTGACTAACACTGTTACCTGCTCTGTGGGGGCGTGTGCGCGCCGGATCTGCATGCCTGTGTCTCTGATTCAGCTGTGAATGGCTCACCCCCGGGGAGAACACTTCACACCTCCTCCACGGGCCCCAGTGAGTCCCAAAGTGTCGTGTTCTGCAGGGCGTTTGAGTGCGGCTCCCACGGAAGGCTTGGGCAGCTCGCCTCTGCATTCTTAGTGTCCCAGCGGGCATTGCGGGTTTGCGAGACGGGGTATGGCTTGAAGCTCTCCCCAAAACACTTTGGATCACTCTAAGTCTCTCTTGTCTTCTCTGCCGTTTGGAGAACAATCCCGAGACCGTCGTTCTGGGGAAGTACCACTCTGCAGTGACACTGTCCTGGGCCGCTAATAGCTGTTCAGTTTTAGGAAAGAGGGTAGAAAAGGGATAAAAAGGGAGAGAAATCAATACGCAGATGTTCTCACATCCGGTGCAGTGGGGACAACAAATCTGTGGACTGGAACTGGAAAAGCTGGTTAAGGAAAGGAACAACCATTAAAAAGTCACGTTTCACTTTAGTTTAAAAGATACCACATACATTTAATTGCTAATATTTTGGTCTAAGGCCAAGATCTTTTTCTGATTAAAGTTTGTCATTTTACTTGCACAAAGCTCTCCTATAATAGAGCGTCTGTAAACTCGATCTTTATTTGAAATGGAATAAGGGTTCCTGCATTTGGGACGCAGGCTGGCTGCAGGGAGTTCCTAGAGGTTTACTGCGTATTCCAGTCGCTTGGCGTCTGTCTCATGGCACCTTACTGTATGGTATTTTAAAGCAAATTTGGGTCTCGTACCCTATCAGAGCATTCCACTTAGGTTTTGTTGTGGACTGTGTATGTTTAGTAACAGTAACTCTTTCTTTCTGCACTCACATTTCACTGGTTTGCGGAGTGGTTGGTTATATTACACAATTGCAATACATATAACTGGCATAAACCAGTTGGATACAAACACGGCGAACTCCCTGATAAGCGGATAAATTAGCTAATGAACACCCTGCAAAGGAGCCTGTTTGTCTCAAACACTTGGGGCTGCGTGGACATCAGTGCTGATGGTTCACAGAAGAAATGGGGAGCACAGTTCCATCTGCAAACTCAGAGCTTCTACAGTAAATGCTGGTTTTTCCTGTTGTCTTCTTCCTCTTGGGAAGAAGTCCATGTTCTTCGATTCCTTTTGTCCGGTATCCAAGGCCTCTTGTCATCGCCGCTGCTCTGTGGCAGTAGCAGCTACAGGAATGTATTCAGACGACAGAGTGCTCCTGGGATGGGGGCTCAACCGGGAGCCTTTTGGCTATTCAGCTGCAGGGAGACTGGATAGTTTTATCCATTAGCTGCTTTGCTTCTGAGTCCCCAAAGGATCCAGTGATATTTTCTTGCTAATGCATTCAGGCTGGAAGAGGCTAAACTCCTGCTGGAAGCAATGGTTCCATAGCAAAACCGGGCTGGTGAGAAATGCCGGCAGAGGGTGGAGGGAGGAGAGGCTGCGCTTCCTCCCCAGCTTCCGGCCTGTGCCCCTGCCCCTGATCCCAGCCTCCCCCTGCCCTGCCTGGGGATGCTGCTCCTTTCCATCCAAAGTATGACAGTTCTCTGGGCTGCAGCCACCCAAGCACATGAGCAGCTCTACAGAACATTCTGTGTGGGCAGGGAGGGGGGCGAATCCTACAGAGGAAACCAAACCCCAGCAAACCACCCCTGCCCCTGCCAGCACCTCCACCGTCGTCTCCTGACCCCCGCAGCCCCCGCAGGGGGTGGGCGCTGCTGTTACCCGCATCTTACAAACAGCAGAGCTGGACTCAAAGAAGGAGCACATGCCCCAAGGCCCCGCAGGGTTTGAACCCAGGTCTGTGTAACTCAAGGCTCTGCTTTCATACCCACTAGACTGTACTACCTCCCCAGGGACCAAAGAAACCACGGCATCTCTGGGCTCCCGAGCAGCAAAAGCAAAGGGGACCCTGGCTTTCAGCTGAGGCACTGAGCCTGGTCCTGGGAGAGCGGTAGGATTTTACGTGCCCCGCTGCAGTTTTCAGCTACAGTGAGGATAATCACTGTCCTCTGCTTTCTCCATCCAGCACACTCATGAGCCTGGTCCGCATCTAGCCGGGCCACAGCGCACGCTGCCGTCTGCCGAGCGGCTGCTCCCACCAGCGACGCCGCGCTGGGGCCCCGCCCCACCCCCCACCCCCTTCCCGTGCACTGCTATAGTCACAAAAGCTGATGGCACTAAAAGCACCAGGAGCCTTCTCTGTTTGATTTTTTAGTGAAATATAATTCACATACCATAGAATTCACGTTTTTTAAAAAAGATTTTACTTTTAAAGAGGGGAAGGGAGGAAGATAGAAAGGGAGAGAGACATCAATGTGT